GAGGCCGCCGCCCAGATGTGCAAGCCAACCGCGCTGTCGGGCAGCGGCAATAAAATCTTCGAAAGCGCTTGCGTCCGGGGGTGCGCCCTCCGCCCCCCCCCACGCACGCGCCGCAGCCCCCCAGGGGGCACGTATTTCCTCCTGCGCCCTCCGGCCCCCCACGCACGCGCCGCAGCCCCCCGGGGGCACGTACTTCCTCCTGCGCTCCGCTTCTGCCTTGGCCCGCTGCTGCTCCTCCAGTCGTCGCCGCCGCTTGGCCGCGGCCTCCTGCCGCCGCCGCCTCAGGGCCTCCAGCTCCTCGGGGCTGAGCACCCGCTGCCTTTTGGCCGCGCCGGCCCCGAGTCCTGGGAGCAGGGCCTGCGGCGAAGATGCTCAGGCGCGCTCTGGAGGGCCAGGGCATCGCTGCGCCCGAGAGCGCGGGAAGGGGGGCCACACCCTGAGCGCGCCTTTGGGGGAGGGGCGCCTGATGTGGCCAGAGGCTACCTCGGAGAGTAACTCGGGGCACGGCCGCAAGGAGCTTGGAGCAGCTCCCTGTCATGTTTCAGCTCCTCCGGAAGCCGAACATGTCAACCCAGGGGCAGGTGGGCATCAGACTGGACGGGGTGCTGACCGCCCCCAGGAGCATGTGCTGGGCCGCGGCACCCCCGCGGGCTCTGCTGTCGGAAGCCAAGAAACGCTCCCCCAGCACCCCCTGCTTCTTATAAACAATTCGCATGAGGCCAGAGTTAATCATGGCTAAGTCTCAGCAAACGCTCACGCCTGCCTCAACACTGCCCCAGCTCGCTTCTGCTCGGGGTGCGCGGGGCGCCCGCCCCCCACGGGCACTCACGCTGCCTCTGTTGCGCAGCGGCCGGCCCTCCTGCCCGGCCGTCTCCAGAAGGGCTCTCTGAAGCGCCACCAGTTGCTCAAATGATTTTCTGTCTTCTGTGCTGGGTTCTTTAGAATAGTCTTTACCTTCAAATAAGTACATGTGGTTTTCTAAAAACATGAAAACAAGAGAAAAGTGTTAGATACCGAAGGAAGGCGATTAGCACTACCCGGTGCCCTGAGTGGGGTGCGCACGGGCACGTCTCGGGGAGCAGAGCCAGGTACAGGCCTCTGCCCCCGCAGGGCCAGCGTGCCCCACTCATGCCGCCCCTCCTTCGCATGGTTCCACCTGCCAGGGTCACCTGCTGACAGGCGGCCAGGAGAGGCACCGTCCCTCGTCTACAGCGGGTCAGCGGACA